TATGCTCTACGTAAAAAAAAAAAGTTGTCATCGCAAATCATCTCTTATTAGTTCCACTTGTTGCGTGCGCATTAGTGAGTGATTCTCGCGAGAAAGCAGATGATGACTTGGGCGACCCCCGATACAGCTGATGCAGATACACCAGAAAAGCAGTGGAAGTATTAGCTAAAGACGACCCAAGATCGAAGCCCAAGATCGAACAAATCTGCGTAGTTGCTCTTCATGTGTGAGAGCATCCCAATAATCATCATCATCATTCTCTTCACCTCATTCTCTCTCTTCCTAAGCATCATATTTCCCCATTCCCTCATACACAATCTAACGTTACTGCTCTTCCTCTACCATTCTACATCTGCTTCCTTACGGTAGTAACAGCAAACAATGGTTATCCGGACGGTCTTGGTATTTTTAGTATATGTGAATGTGCCCAAACAGAGGCTGCTAATTTGTTATGTTGGAAAGTGTGTTTTGCAATGGCATAAATGAAAGAAAAATAAAAACGGAACCAGGACACGCGGTGCAACGCCTTGCATACCAACATAAAAGACAGCATCGATGATGAACAGGACGGTGACGTGACCGGACGTAAGCACATTCCAGGAGGACGGACGACTTGCTCCTACAATACGCGGTACAATGAAATCCACAAAGTTACAACGATTTTAGCCTGCCCATGTCTAAAGTGATAAAAAAGAAAACCAAGAGCGGTTGATCTAAAATAGCAGCGTAAGTTGAACACCTAAAGAGCATTGCAGGCCGCGAAATGCACACTGCTTGCACTCATATTTATTATGAAGGTCGCCAGGATTAATAGTTCAGAACCGCTCAGCATATACCAGGCAAATTGAAACCAGGCCCTATTTGCCCCGCTCCAGTGTTCAGCTCAGAATAGCATTCGTACGATCTCTTCAAAGGTTATCACAGTGCCTGCATTTTAATAAGCGATTGCACTTGTTGATCCACAACATCCAAAAAAATTTTTCAGCCCTATTCAGGCACAGATAAGCACGCGCTTGAGAGTGTGCAGACATGCTTGCCACGACGGACCAACAGTAGTAACTCTCGAAATACTAACAATGCAATGCACAGTCAAGAACAGTTACAGAACCAATGATTTGAAGGATTAAAGGCAAAAATTAAATACAACAGCTTTCTAGCTTTTCTGGTAGCTGAGTTGAAATTGGGTGACGCATACACATACATCCACAGACATGCACATTCTTATATGATATAATAATGTGCATGTGCGTGCAAATACAA